TTACCCCACTTCTCTCAGTATAGAGTATAAAAAATAGTGGTGATTTTTAGCTCAAGACAGTCTGTTTTCACACAGTGACTAACAAAACCTGAAAAATTCAAGTTTCTTCTTGTTTTCTGGACACCATGGAAAAATATCCTTACAGACGATTGGAAGACTCTTGATAATATTTTGCTTGGCCTGTTGACAGAAGGAGCACTCACTGTAGCACAGAGAACTGAGAACCTAACTGAAATAAATCCTCTGATCTATAGTTGTCAGCAAAGCTGTAAGGAGACATTTTGGAGCTCAAAGTGCCCTTGAATCTTTTGCTGCCATAGTATTCTACTCAAATTGAAGCAAATGGGTAGAGTATGCAGCCTTACAGATTGACTGTAAGGCTTGGACTTAACTTCCTTTCTTACCCCCTTTTAGAGCTCTTCTGTCCCAATGTTGCCATGACCCTGACTGTGACCAATTCTGAATTAGTTTGAGGCACAGAAAGTCAGAACTAGCTCTTGCATGAGGAGCCTGTTTGATCTACAATATTTTATGAGCCATTTATTTTATGAACCAGGGTTGTCAAGCTTTGGAACAGGCTGTCCAGGGAAGTGGTTGAGTCACCATCTCTAGAGGTATTTAAAAGATGGTTAGATGTGGTTCTTAGGGACATGGTTTAGTGGTGGACTTGGCAGTGCTAGGTTAATGGTTGGACTTGATGATCTTAAAGGTCTTTTCCCACCTGAACGATTCTATGATTCTGTTTGGGGTAGGCATAAATGTTTCATCTAATGGAAGTGCTGGGAATTCTCTTTTTAGTAAGATACACTACTTATTCCTAACTTCAGTAGAGATTGCAATATAAGCCCATAACAATATAAATGAAGCCTTGCAAAATGTTTTTTCATGTAATTTATAGCATTATCTAAAATGTTTTCTTGTTTTTTGTCTCCCTTAGAGACATGTGTAGAAAGTGATTAATGATTCAGAGACAGAGATGTGAAATACTGCATCAATAAGACTTTTTGGGTGCTTTTTTTTCCCCTAAACCAAAAGGCACTTCTGAAATATTATGTATAAAATATGAAGCAAAATCACCCAACCTAACGCATTTTCTTGGAAGGTGCTAAATCACAACACTGATAATAGTGATTAATGTGGTCTGCAAACTCCTGCAAAAACTGCTGAAAAGATCTTGACACAGAATCACATAAACAAGTAATATGTTGACCTTTCACTCAGCCACCCTCCTCCAGATATTTGTAAATTCAAATGCAAAAAGTGTAAATGCTTCTGGCTGAAGTAGAGTAGCAACACTAATAATCTTTACATTTTTAGCTATTTTCTTAATTCTCCATTTAATCAAGTTAAGTTTTTGTAAATTATTCTACAATTTCTGTATTTCTTTTCACTTTTGGTACCAAAAGACAAGAGTACGTCCTAAAGACTAATTTCATTTTTAGCCATTTTCTTTGGAATTTTTTATTTGTTCAAGCGTTACAATTTTCCCATTTTTCAGTTAGTGTCATTTTTTTCCTCACATGTTTTGGCACATTTCAGACTAAAGTGTTTTTCTTCCTTCCCTGTCTATTAAATGGTACATATGTTTTGGACATTTGTCTTCCATACTCTCATCTTTGTGCAGAGGTAAATAACTAATTTCCCTTTGGTTGTCAATTTTCTTATTTCCTTAGTTTTTCTTTTCCTTTTCTGACAACAAATCTTTTCTGCCATCCTGTCAGAAGCCAACTAATGATCTTTTGTGTTGTATGCATTTGAAATATGCTATTCTTTAACTACTTGTTTTCTTCAAAGAATATAGTTGTTCTGAAAATGGGATAATTTCCCATTTTGTCTGAAAACATTGTCCTTGAAGTTTTTTTAAATACTTCTGTGGTCGCTATTCTTTCCCATTGCAACTTGCCATCTAGTTTTGGCATCTTCCATTCTGTGGAAGTGATTTAGAGTGCTTTCTGTGCAAGACAATGAACAGTGGTATCCTTGAGAGATACTGGAAGGTTGTGCAGAGCTTTTTTCATCTAATCTCTTTTCATTTATGACCAGCTTTCTGAGTAGCCACCAGTTAGAAAGTGCTTGGAGGAAATCCCCTGGGGATTTCAGGTTTTGCTTACTGAACCCTCCCTGTTACTAGCTTTTTGGGTACATTCTTTTGAATGGGAAAGTTGGTTGCATGACCTGGGTATAAACTTATTGTCTTCTTCCCTCTCCCTCACTCCCTCCTGGTTTCATGATTAAGGTTTTTGAAAATAATGGCATGTCTGTCTCCTTGTGTGGGGTTCAGTTGCTGGGTTATTCAACACAGCCCTGAGGCTGATCTACTCTTCTAAGGAGAGGTGCCTTAAAATTGAGAATCCTCAATTCTTGAGATGAGTTTTGTGGATTTGGCCTCCAAGGCCAACACATGTTCATCTCCCTTGTACTTATTCTTTTGCCCTGCGGGAGAAAAATCTGATGAGAATTACCTCTGTACCAAAGTCCTTGTACCTCTAGAGGCCAGATAATCCCCATTTTGGTTGAAAGACTTGGGAATCTTGAAGGCAAAGGTGTTATGACAGAGTCTAAATGAAAAAACGGTGATATTAAATGTAGTTATCTCAGACATTGACTTGACTTTTTATAATTCAATGAGCCAAGGAATCAAGGACAAGGTTATTTTCTTAAGGTACTTAAGGGAAGGCCTTGAGTTAGGACAGTCATCGTGGTGACTTTCAAGGAACACACTACATTCTCTCAGAATATGGTGGTGATCTATATCTCAATCAAATGTCTATGATAAGAGGCAACAAAGATAATATCAGGTAAAAGAAACAGAACCTTTTGTCCCTTAGAGAGCTCAGAAAAATGGGAAATGTGAAGTGCATTGATTATTTGAAAAAGTACAAATAACATCCATGCAGACACATTTTGTTGCTACTCTCAATCGCTCCATGTTTTTACTGCTGAATTTGTCAGAAAACCCGTGTCTCAGCAAAGGAGTCTGTAATGAGATATATATATGTAGATTGTCCAAGATTTACCACGCTGAAGCAAATATCGGGTGACCTTAGTGTTTAGTTGTTTTCAATGGAACATACTAAACCTGATGCATTATATTTAATAATCCACAAAAAAAAGAAATTAAGAAAAGAAAATTATTATTTCCATGCTAAATATGAAGATGGAACCTTCTTCAAGACGTGTGAGATGTTTAGGATAAGAATCCAACAAAACATGCTAAGAACCCAGTAGTATTTCCAACACTGGTACTTTCAGAGGACAAGTAATATAGATCTTTTCGTGTGGTGAATGTTTCAGTGGGACTGATGCTCAGGTACTCAAGCTGCTATGTCCATCAGAAAATCCCTCTCCTAAGATGCAGTCAGCAGTACCACTCTGGAATATCATTGTGGTGTTCAATAGACATCTGCCATTCTGCCAGATGTCCATTTCTACATCTTCATTTCAAACTGTGAGAACAGCTTGAATTTCTGGTGCTCTGGTCAGTGGTCAGTAAACATCTAAAGCCATCTGGATGACCTGCACCTCCTCTCCAGTTAGCCATTTGCAGTGGTATGGCATGCCTCAGAATTTTGTTCCCAGGGTAAACTCTTTCCTTGGCTCTCATAGCGATGAGAATGTAACGGGAAAACTAACTTCCAGAGTAGTCAATGCTGACTTTTTATGTAGGTGGATTCCAGATTTCTCTAAGTCTTGTTTTTTTTTTTATCCATTCTTTTTCATCTTTCTCAATGGTTATGTGAATGGTTCAGCTGTTGGTAGAAAGGTAGCGCTGTTTATTTAACAGTGTCCAGCAATGTAGATCAATTTGCATGGTCAGTTGACATTATTAAGTTCAGATCCTTTTATGAAGAATTAAGAGGCAATCCAAAACAGCACAAGTATTTTTTCCTCTTTCTTATTGTAGTTACTTACTATATTGGATATGAACATGTCAACATAGGACCATCTGTCTTTCCTAGATAAGTGGAGAGAGAGGGAGATGATTTGAAGTAACCTGTGCTTTTAATTTCTGGGCTCTTTTCAGTTTGAGGGGAAGGGAGAGAGAATGCTTGTCACTTGGAAATTGTTTGTTTTCTGTATGTACCTGTCTTCACTTTCCTAGTTAGCTCATACAGAAAGACCCACATTAGAAACCTCAAAGACCCTAGTTATTACTTACACCTCGGGGAAAAAAGAAATTACCCAAACTAAATGGTATAAAATCTTTGCAAAATTCAATATCATTGTGACCATTAACCTTGTTAGCTAGGAGTATGTGCTTTTTAAATATGGATGTGAAGTTTCAGCTATAATTCTACTTTCATGTGCCCAAGAGTGGGGAGTAGCATTAATCCCACTGTTTCTGTTAATCTTTTATTCCTTTCCTGATTCACCATGTTTGCTGTTGATTCAGAACTTGATATGTTTGCTAGATTTGTGTTATAATGCTAATTACTAGAGGGTACTATCATTGACTGTAGAAAAAGAAGTAATATGCTGTTGTAATGTGTTAATTTCAGATTTATTCCTTACCTTTGCCAGAAGTGAAGGAACCAGGGTTTTGTTCAGTCTCTGTTTCTTTCACTTTCCTTTTCCCTTTTTTCCCTTTTTTCCCTTTTTTCCCTTTTTTCCCTTTTTTCCCTTTTTTCCCTTTTTTCCCTTTTTTCCCTTTTTTCCCTTTTTTCCCTTTTTTCCCTTTTTTCCCTTTTTTCCCTTTTTTCCCTTTTCCCCCTTTTCCCCCTTTTTTCCCTTTTCCCCCTTTTCCCCCTTTTTTCCCTTTTCCCCCTTTTTTTTCCTTTCCTTCCCCCAATGGTGTAGCATGTAAGTATTTGTTACTAAAAAGGAAAGGAAAACAAATTGACAGCAATGGGAGACTGAAAATGTAATTAAACAACTGTATAGGGAATGGTGGGTCAGCTGAGAAACCTGCTCTCAGAAACAAATCGCCTGCAATTCAGTAGTTGTGCCACGTAGTGTCGCAATCGGACTGAACTTCCACTCTGTATCTACCCCCATGGTAGGTGAAGATCTTTATAAAGCCAGAGAAGAGCAGTCTGAAGTGTGGGGGGCAGCTGAAGTGCAGGAAGATGAAGATACTCGTGTAGAAGTTCCACTGGACCAGGTACTGATCGAGCTTTAAATAAATGGCTTTTTTTAGGACCCCAGCCTGTGTGTTGTTTTTCTTTCCCCAGTTTCTTTCAAGTGTACAGCATAATTCTGTGGGGATCATTGTAACAAGCTCAATGATGCGGCTTCTTTTATGAGAGCTTTAGCAAATCTTCCTTTCTCTGTTAATGTGTCAAATATCAGTTACCTTTTCATCATACATCAGCTTGAGAATTGCTCTGAGAGCCCTTAAGGGCCTTAGAGAATCAGGACTTCCTACCTACCGAATAGATCCACGTGGATTGTAGTCCCTTTGTACTGATGGAGCAGTGTAGAGAGCCTATGGCATAGGATCAAGAATTCCTGCAGTCCTGAACCACAAACAGGTGTAGATTTATCTGATTTTTATTAAAGCTGACAGTACTTTCTTCTGTTGGAACAACAGGGTACTTAGTTGTCCAACTTTTTCATTGAAAGACTTATGTGCAATAAATAGGTCTTGATAACTAAACATGACATTATATCCACATCATTTTACTTTGATTTGTTTTAAAAGAAACTCCTGTGAACTGAAATAATACAGGAAACAGGTAAGTTGAAGTGGAGAGTAGAACTGCTTAAACTATTTGCTGAAAACTTACCTTATTTTTTTTTCTGCTAGTGAATTGCTCAAAAGACAGTCCTCTTTTTCATCTTACATGTTCGTAGGAATTTGCCAACTTGTTCAACTTTGTGTTCAGTCCACAAGAAGTTGCATTGTGCTTTTCGTGTCTGTTGATAATGGCTTGGGGCCAGCTAGGCCACAAGATAATATTTCTGATCCATGCTGCAGTGTAAGGAATCACAGTTTACCCAATAGATTTCTCAGACTAAAAATCATCCCAACAACATTAGGGATTCCCAAGCATTTTTCTGCCTTCCGGGTGGTCAGCTCAGTGCTGAGGATCAATTGTTAATGTGAAATTGTAGACAAATGGGAGAGAGTTAAAAATTGTTGTTTGTAAATACACTTTAACTACCCAGGGCATACACAATCCAGGAGATTTCTGGACTGCACTGAAGACAATTTTTTTATGTAAGTAGTTGGATACATGATTAGGAGAGACATTCTGCTGGATCTGCTACTCGTGAATGAAGAGAAACCGGTTGGGGATGTGATACTCGGTGGCAGCCTTAGTTGCAGTGGCCATGAGATGATAGGGTTTAAGACCCTGAAGGAAGGGGGGATGGCAAATAACCATGTTAAAAATCCTGGAATTCAGGGGAGTGGTATTCAAGGCTGTCCTGAAGTGCAGAGGAACACAGGTGATCTGGTTGATCAGTACTTAAAGGGGGCTTATAAGAAAGATGGGGACAGGATTTTTAGCAGGGCCTGTTGCAACAGGACAAGAGGTAACAGTTTTAAACTAAAAGAGGGTAGATTTCGACTAGATATAAGGAAGAAATTTTTCCTAATGAGTGTGGTGAAACACTGGAACAGGTTGCCCAGAGGGGTGGTGGATGCCCCACCCCTGGATACTTTCCAGGTCAGGCTGGACAGGGCTCTGAGCAACCTGATCTAGTTGAAGATGTCCCGACTCATTGCAGGAGGGTTGGACTAGATGACCTTTAAGGTCCTTTCCAACCCAAACTATTCTATGATTCTATACTAGGGATATGTGCTCAAAAATTTTTTACTGATATGGGTGTGCAATAAAACCAGCTTGGAGAACACTGCTCTAGATGTCTCTTCCACCCTATTTTTTCTGTGATTCTGTATTTGTTCATCTTTGATTATTTCAGTCCTATAATCAAAATTTTTTTTTTTTAGTAAGCTTTGTTTTTTTGTTCCTATTATTTAGCTGGCTGGATTTTTTTTTCAGTTTCTTTGAATTGGGTAAAAGAATACTAGACATATACATTTTGCTTGTCTCCTGCCTTTAAAAAATGCCTCAGGGGAAAACAGACAGAAGTTTTATGTGCGTAAACTTTGTTTTAATTTCTGCCTGTGATATCAATCTGTACATTAACAGAAGCCACATATGAAGTTGCTACTGTAGCCATTTTGAAGAATGGCACCATACCCATCTGAAAAAAAAATCTGGATCTCTCCATTTTATTTAGGCTGCTGTTTCTAAGAAGGACCATTCTCAGTGATTTATTCACTTTAATGGGAAGGAGTCATCTTTTGTCACCACGAATAAGGATAAGGTTGAGGTACTTAATGCCACCTT